TGAATTGGCTGCAGTGGACTAGCGCAAGAGGAATACTAGCTCCCTCTCCTTAGCCTTTCCTCTCCAAAACCAGGCTGAATGCCTTGAGCTGTGAGACAGGGAATAAAACAAGAGCAGGACAATTTTTATTTATTTGTTTGCTGCTCTGCAAAGTGGGAGTGGCAAGGCACAGAACAGCTTTTCATAGACTCCTATAAATATAACTAACAGACATACCATTAAAGCAGAAGATATGTTTGATGTCAGGCCACGTAAGCATGTGGTGCAAAATCTCATCAAAATCATCCTCAGACTTCCCACTCTTGATTGGCCATGACTTCACAATAATAGCTGATACAAGCTGGCTGAACTGGCCCATGTTGTAGGGAGATATCTTCTCAAGAAGATTGCTCTGAGTCTACACAAGGCACACAAGGCAGAGAGGAGGAACGCATCAGTGTTTTGGATTCTACTGCGTCCGTCTTTCTCTCGGGATCAGGCACTGATATCAAGAAGTCACACCTCCAGTGCTGAGGCATTTTCCAAAAAAGCCGCATGACATGACTGACACCAGAAGCCATGATGGCAAAAGCATTGCAAGTATTTTTCATGGACCCTTTGTAAGTGGGTCCTCATTTCCTGGTTTCTTGTCAGTATTTTTTTTTATAGGTTTAACAAACTTAAACAATCCACAAGCAGCTCAAGCAATAAGAGACTGAATACACAACTCTCCTTCCGCCACAATGTACATCCCTCTACTACGCAACAGAATTTTCTAGGCATCAGGAAATTTGCCTTTTCCTACCTTGAAGGAAAATACAATACCTGGCAAGCTGCAGTTACAGCCTCTGTGGCACAGTTACAGAAACACCGGTCAATGGAAGAGTCAAGTTGCTTAAATTTGGGTTGATGACGGCAGTAGACTAAGATTTGGTTAACTGGAGGCTCCTACAGGGAAAAATGAAGATTTCTTATCAACTCAAAGTTTCCAAAGTGTTTCTTCTGAAAGCATGAAGGAGTGCTGCTATTAAGACAATAAAAGGAACAGAGTCAAAAAATGTAAGTTTCCTACTGGAGCCAACTATCAGCCCATTTATCATGGCCTGGAAGAGAGATGAGACACAAATAAATGCTTGGAAAATCTTTCCGTCTAAAATGTGTGATTACTTAATATGCATCTCTCCAAGCTAAGCTTCCACCAGGAAATATTTGCGTCCTGATTATACCATGAAAAGAATTTTGCAGCTGACATAGAAAGGAGATGAGAAGATACACAAGTTCAATTTGGAAAGGACCTACACATCTGGGTGTGCATTTGGGAGACTGGACAACACAATTTCTGCACAATGAATGAAAAGAGACAAGCGCCAACTTTGCTTCTGTAAGTCCTTGCATGCTTACTTAACACCCACTGTTTCTTAAAACTATAGGGGTGGTAATTGCTCAAAATGTGCAATTCCCTTTAAAGCATCAGGACATCGGTCACTGCTAGAAACAGACCAGCACTGCAGACAGGGTGGCAGGCTACTGGAGTCTCTGACACCAAGAATACAGCATGCTACAGTTTCATGTCCAATTTTTGAGCCTCCAGAACATGGTTTATAACAGCAATGGCAATTTTTATCACCAAAGCCACAGTGTTTTCACGTGCCCATTCAGGCTCTAGAAGCTACTCTCTAAGCACAGCAGAAGACTGTCTATCCGCTCTGAGCTTGGCCCACCAGCATGCAGTGACTGCCTGTAGTCCCCCCTACCTCCTGAATTCTTCTCTCCAGATCTGCAAGTAAAGTCTTCTTCCACCTCTCAGTGAACTGTTCATCTGGAAAGCTGATCTTCACAAATTCATCCCAGGCCTGCAGGTGAGAAGCAAACAAACCCAAAACACTAAGTGCTGAGATTTAAATTAGGAAATTAAAAAGGAAATCAAATAAGGAAATTAGAAGAACTATGCTGAGGAGAGGCCCCACACTCCTCAGACAGTCTGCAGCCCTTTCAGATGTTTCCATCCAGACAAAAAAAAAAAGAGCACTCCCAGAGCTGCAAAAGGCAGCTTTTAAGCCCAAACAGTGTCAAAATGTCCCAGTTGCTAAAGGAGGCATTTGGATGAACCATTTCCACCTTGATGCTGGAAACTGTCCCAGGGAGGCTGGGAGCAGAGCGAGTCAGGCTGTAAGGAGTTGCTCTGTGCTTTGCCTGCTGGAAGGCCTGAAGAACAGCCAGTAGGACATACAGGCTGAGCAAGACAACAGCTCCAGCTACACGCCAACAAGTGGCAGCTCCTCATTCCAGCAACACCTCTTGGAACAGCCGAGAAAAAGGAGAAATAAGGTGAGCTAAGCAGCACCAATTACAGCCCTTTGCTTTTCAGCCCAGTAGCGTTTAAAACAATGCAGCTTCTCAGCTTGTAGTCTGTACTGCCTGTCCCCATCGCACTCCTCACCCAGCCAGAGCAGATACAGCTCCCAGCAAAGAGCCGTTAGACTAAAGACTATATGCTTAAGCTACGGTAAAACACATTTTTATTCATATTATTAGAAGATGACAAACCCAAAGTTCGTAACCAGAAGAGAACGTCACAGGCTCTGGGTAATCTTTCAGTAACTTCTGGTTTAAAACATTTCTGAACCAGGTTCGAGTGTCTCTCAGAGCTTCACTGAATACTTCTACCTCTGGAACTTCCTGCACAGCATCTCTTGGAACCTGCTGCACCCATGGGGTGGGGAGAGGTGGAAAAAGGAAAAAAAAGAGAACAGTTCAAGCAGGAGAGCAACATACAACTGATTTAAATAAATATTTCTGAAAGAGACAGCCTAAATGCATCCACAGCACAAACATGCCCAGCAACAGAGACCCACCACTAGTTGAATAAAGGATAGAGGGAGGCTGGGAAAATGCAATGCTTACAAATAGTTTGTGCCTAGGGACGCTTATTGCAGGAAGTAAAGACAACATATATTTAAGGGAAAAAACCCAGACATAAAACAAAACCCATGACAGCCAACTTAGGCATTTGACCTTATTTTGACTAAGAAGAATCAAAATCATTAAATGATCTAACAACGTACCACAATCTTGGTTAATTTAGAGTATTAAGTTTTCCAAATTGAGAATGGATATGATCTAAAACCAGTCTGCTGTACCATTTTTGTAATACTTCTAGATATCTTGCTCATATCAACCCACGAATGGTTCCTTGGTACTCACTGCTGTGGGCTGAAGTTTGGCAACTTTCGAAATCATCACGGCAGAAGTGGCAGGAATCGTGAACCACCGTACCCGCTTCACGCACTTGCAGACCCTCTTGTACAGCTGGAGGCAACAGATCAAGCAGGACTGCCAAGAGTGAGCTTCCAGAGCTCTGAAGGACAGGAATAAAGAAGAATTTCTTTTCTGAATGAAGGGGGAAGAAAGAAAAAACCCCACCAAATTCAATACAGTGTGGCAACTAACCATCCCTCCCTCAGATGGATTTAAAAAAATGTTGCTATCTGACAGAGGGCTAGAAGTACAGGATTCTTTTATTCATACAGATTTCAATGCACACATTCAAGCTACAAGCATAACCCCGCCCCACAGGCACGGTGCAAATAAAAAGGACGATGTTCTCACAAAAGTGCGCTTCAGTTACCTGGCCTGTTTCTCATCCAAGGTACGCAGCAGTGTCTTTAGAAGACTGTCTACTACCTAAGAATGGAAAGATAGAAATATTAAACTGTGGAAGGAATTTTACAGACTGGTGCCTCATTAATTGAGGGGATGCTGTGAAAGAGGGAATTCAGTATTCTTCCATGCCTTCTCCAACATGTTTATAAATACGCTATAAAATTGCAGAAGTTATTTACTGGATGTCAGAGTCAACATATAGGTGGCTATTATTTCTACAAACAAAACCTGCGCTTCTTACAGACTAGGGGTTTAAAATTTATTATTAATTGCACTGTCCAGTTCCTGCTGTTCTCATACAAATACAAGCGTTTTCACAACAGGCAGGAAAATCTCTCAAACCCGCAGCACCTTGCCCAAATGCCCAAGAGCTGTGCAAAAAATAATTTCAGGCAGCCATCTGAGGATCTCAGGATTAAAATATTTGCCATCAATGACTGAGAGCAAATCCAGATAAGCAGACCCTTCTCTCATCAATGCCAACAACATTTTTTGCTACAGATAGACCCTCTCATCTCCTCTTAGGAGTCTCCTATTTCAGAACAACTGGTTTTGCTTTTAGCTAAGTTTTAAGCTCTTTGCGCTTTGACTTGCTACCAACGACATTCCCTTCAGTGACAGTCAGTTCTGCTAAAAGGCACACTACAGCCCAGTTCCAGCCTTTATCCCTTAGCTGCATAAAGCTGCCAGAAGACAAACCTCAGAACTGCTCCACGAAAGGTCAATGTCCTCTAATCTGTAAGAAACACCTTGAAGAGTAGCTAACAAATCAGTGGAGAAGTCTTTTATAAATTCAGCCAGGTTCTCCAGGGGCAGCACACAGATCCAGGACTTGACCAGAGTCCTATCTAATTCCATCAAGTATCTCTTTTCTTTCATTAGTTGCAGTAGGGTCCCCCTGGATGGAAGACAAAACAAAATCTTCAAGTTCTCAAGGTACAAAAGGCTAAAAGCTTGTTCAGCCCATGAAGGACTCTTATTCCCACTCCTCTGCTTTTCTCATTTACAGCTGAAGATCAGTAGAAGACCCCAAGACCCAGTAGTCGCAGAAGCAGTGTCAAACTACTGAGCAGAAGCACTCAAGGAAAATAAACTCCAGGTCTTGCTCAGATTCTGCACAACACCTATCATGAGCTGCTTTAACTCACAGCAGGCATCACCAACCATGCAAGCTGCTCCATGGCTTGCAGAATTAAGGGTTGTTTGTGTCTGAAAGGTAACATACTGCACAGCTTTGCTATACACCACAGTCTGAGCAACCAATACGGTCTGTGTTCCTATATCACAAATATCAACCATCAACATGCTACATTTCCTATTTTTTTGAAAACAAGAGAGTTAGAAAAAAAAGATAGAAAGGTGACCACCACCAACTACAATGTCAAGGCACTGGATATAACCCGCAATTCTGGAAAACTCACCTATGTTGCTGCTTCCTTGTTTCAGCAAATGGAAGCCCTTCCAGCCCCGCCCAGATATCTTCTTGCATTGGCAAGTGGTTGTGTTGCGAAGGAGCAGCAGAGAAATGCAGAAGAGGAAGAACCCACACCCACTGATCTACTTCGTCATAAATGCAGCTTTCGCAAAATTTTGTCAGGTGTATCTTCAAACTGAAAAAAAAAAAAAAAAAACCACAAAACCAAACAATACAAAAAACCCAAAACAAACACACACAGTAAAAGAATAGCTTTTTACGGGACTCAGGAATGTCCTGGGCAGGGGGGGAAGCTACATCTCAGTCTTGCTATTACCTTCAAATCACTTCTGCTAATTATTTTAGCTCAATCTTATCTTTATTGAAGACTATATATGGTAAAAGTTTAAGACTCAAAGCTCTAATCTTACCTGAATCTCTCTGCACAAACCCTACTAATATAGCACTAAGAAGTGCCAATACTTTATCCACAGTTTCCACGTGAGACCCCCAGCTCAGTCAGGGATCAGGTGACACGGATGCACAGAGCCAGGCATTCTAGGGACAATTCTTGGCTTCCTCGGTTGGGCTGAAGTACTACAAAGGCCTCCAAAAGGAAATGTAATAGCTGCAGCTTGTGCAAGTGAAGAACTAGAAAAACCGAGTGCCAGATAAGCAGTTAGATAACAGTCTAATAAGCAGGCACTCTGAGGGGAAAAAAAAAATCAACAAAAAACATGTGTAATGATGCACGTCAGAGGAGACAGAAGAATTCAAATATGGCATTTAAATTTAAAGGAGTAAATACACCATGATCCCGATCATTGGAGTTTGTAAGTATGAATAGCAAACAGGTAAGAAGCTAGATACTGTTTGACAGAAGAGGATAACAAATAAGATTTATATATATAAAGAAAAACCAATAGTTTTAACTCAATCTACTACTCTGGCAACAGCGACAAGTTGCAATAAGGGAAGTCCTGCTTGGACAATAGTAAAACATCAGTCGCATCAAAAAAGGTGACTGTAAGAGGGCCAAAGAGAGTTGTGCAATCTTCATCCCAGGAGTTTTCCAGAACTCAACTGCAACCTTGCCTGGATGTTAGCTCTGCTTTGAGCAGGAGGTTGGAACAGACACCTCCAAAGATCCCTTCAAATCTGATTTTTTTTTTTTTTCTGATTCTCTGACACTAGAGCACCGAATCCCTCATTGCTTTATCACAGGGTGCTATGCTTGCAGCAAAACCAGCCCAGTTAGCTACCTTGTAAGTGCTCCAGTAACATACATACCTAGTAACTGCTAGAAAAGCCTTGTTGATATGATGAAATTCATCCAGTACAGCTTGTTGTGACACCTTATCCAAGCACAAGAGGCTACACAGGTCAACCAGATCGCTTTTAAATGCTGGCAGCCCGAGCATGTCAACTACTGCGAGAATGGTGAGCCCCAGAGCTAGTTTACTTTTTATTACTATGTCCTCCTGCGATGCTTTTGCACCTCCTGGCGCAAGGAAAGGAAGAGCTATTTTCTTCATGTAGTTTAGCAGCAAATCAGTCACCTGGGATAAAGAAGGGAAGAAACAAAGCAACCACAGCATTAGTTCCCCAACAAGTCTTTTTCTTCTGAAGCCATTTTCTTCTGCCGGTTACAGCAAGGACACTCGATAGCCCTGTACGCCCCGCGGCACCATGGTGGTACCGGGATCTAAGCACACATGGTACTGACCACCACCACCACATCAGGCCTGGTACCCCAGTACCTGTGACGGTTTGGTGCCCCTCTGTGCTACCGGCTCCCACCGTTCAGCTACTGCTGCAGCCTCCCGTGCCCAGCAGAGCTGGGGAGCGTCAAGGGACTGGGGCAGACATCAGGAAGGGAACCGGCGAGCTGAGCAGCCGTACGCCCAATGCTGTCTTATGTCACCATCACACACCGCAAGCAGACTCCAGCTTCCCAGTGGATCAGGCTTGCTTGGGAGTCAGCAAAAGGTGAGAGCTTTCTGTCCTTACCCACAGCCCCCAAAAGCTACTCTGAATCCACATCCAAGGGGTCCATAGTACTGTGGTGCTTGGTGATACCAAAATCACCCCTCCGAAAACCGGCACAGACACGAAACACCCGTGGGCTCTGCTGAACTGGGTGGGTATGCCATCTTGTGGCCTCTCCCGCGTCACCAGGAGGAGGGAGGCTGTGGAGAGTTAGAAACGAGCAGCCCTGACACCAGTCCAAAGCCCCCAAAAAGACAACGTGACGTTTCTGCCACATTTCATAATTATGCCAGGTAAGAAATTTAGGACCAGGACAGAAGCCCTGTCTGCACCACTGCTTAGAACTGGACCAGGAAGAGCTTGTCTCAAAAAAAAAAAAAAAAAAAAAAAAAAAAAAGGCAGGCTTGAAGTCCGAGACATATGCAGAGAAGTCAGCAACAGAGTGACTGGCAGCAAAACTAAAGGGCCAGGCTTCGGAAATTAATATCCGTACACAAAACCCACTCAGGTAAGATGTCGCCACATCACTGCTCTGCTGCTGACCAGTATGAGATATTCAGAACAGCACCTAATTGCAAAGGTGCGACTGAAGTTCCCAAGGCAGATGGTGGCAGTCACCCCGAAAAGATTCCAAAAATTCTGTCACACCTGAACTTTTTGACTGGAAAAGCAAAATTAACCCAACAAGGTCAACAGCAAAATTAAAGTCCTGTGTTTACTAACTGAATGTCTGTTTTCTAGTATCTGTTAAAAGAAAACAGATTACCTGCTCCATGCCAAAGTTTAACTCCATCCATGGCATTACATTGCCGTCATGTACCAGTGGTCTTCCTGTAACCACACAAAACTGCCTCAGCTGGAAGATGAAGTTTCTCAGGTTGTTGGGACTCCAGGTTCCAAGAATGCTGAAGATATTTTCTAACATAATATTTGCAGCTATTTTCTTCCCTTCCACCACTTCTCTGTTTTCATTGCCAGAAAGCCTGTTCCAAATGTTTTTAATTCCGGAAGGCTTTGCACACACAATATCGTCATACTGATGCCATTCTAGAATAAGCAACACAGATGAGAAAACACACATTTGCATGTGCCTTCACTCTTTCAGCTGTCCACAGAAATACCCCCACTGACCCAGCAAGTTTCCGACTTCAGAAGTGCTGTCTAATAATAATGTTAGTCCATAGGAAGTTAGAGATCATCCCAATATGCAGATCCAGTCAGAAAAGCTCACCTCCGTTGTTGAGCAAGTCACGTCTTATGAATAAGCAGCGATTCACATGATTATTTGATACTGAACGCTTGTAAATAAATTCATACTCCCCTCCACCACAGGTAACCCAGTATTTGTAAGGAATGAATCTATCCATATTTTCTTTTGCAAGAGTTACAGTGCCTTCAATGAGGTATCCATGTTCTCCTAGATGCCTAGGAAACACAAAACACAGCAAAGGAGGGCAAAGGACATGTCAGCTGATCTAGATACTTCCTTTTCCACACATCACTCCATTTTTAATAGCAATGGTGATTATTCTTTCATGATGAAAATTTTAGGATAGTTATCTCCACTATGAAAACCCTTTGTAGCAATACCCACCAATGGACATATAGCTACAGTCTTAGGTATTAAAATGAAGTACCACATTGCATCCTGTTCTCCAGAGCCAAAACACTCCTGTGCCCCTGCGTGACGCAAGAAGGTACTTACTTGCTGCAGGTCAGCTCACAAATGTTGTCCTTCCAGTTTTCATAGGGAGAAATGCCTTCACCCCTGATGAATATTTTGTGGGTGTCAAGGTTTAGTTTGAAGTGTTTGGACAATACCGCATGGAAATATACTGTAACACCATCACTTCGGTTCACATAACTACAAGAATGAATTAGAAGGAAAATAGAAAGAATTCTAGTTTTTACTTTTTTTTTTAAATTGCACAGATCATTATAAACAACAAATAAGATCTGAGCCACTAGCTTACTGGATGCAAGACCCATAAGCTCTGTCAGCAGTTCACTCAAACTGATGCTACATAAGAGGCCTAGTGTAAAGCTTAGTGCAAAAGGGAAAATGGGTTCCTAACGGCAGCATGAAACGCTCTGGCCATGGTGCATCTGGGTCACCGCATTGTAAGCCAACAGAAATACCTCACCCAGCAGAGTCACCTGAAATGGCTAAGCTTTATCCCTCTTCCCATTCACACAAATTAAGCAAAACAAGTTATACTAATCAAAACAGCTCTTCACACCATTAGAGTCACACTTGTGAAGCACATGTTGCTTGTAAGAGTAAGAAATAAGAAGACGATCTCTTTTTTTTTTTTTGGTATTCATCAGATACTCAAAAAAGGTTCAAGTACCAACTGTACCACATCACCCAGTACATGACCTGTGCTGCAACTCCCAATTAAACATTGGGTCCCTTTTGCATGAGCAGTAGTTTACCTCAGTTTTAAGGAATTCTATTTCCACATATCCAAGACACATGCAGACCTAATCTTAGTACTTCAATCCCCTGCCTCAGTCTGGAGTCCCCTAGTCCACCTCACACCAAAACCTGTAAGTGAAGAATGCTGGGGAGCAGCAGGGGTGTTCTCACCTTTCTGTAATCTTATCCACGGGTTTCTGGTTCCTTTTTTGCTTTTTGTCCTTACAGCTGTCTGTTACAGCTGAGGCATCATCCTTTCTAGCAACCTCAGGTCCTTTGGTCTGACTTGCCTTCTCAGTTTCCTCATGCATTTTCTCACTTGGGGCCTTCTTCTTCTCCTTTGTGTTTTCATTCTGCGATAGGAAGACAGACAATGCCCAATTAAACAGGAGACCCTGGCAGTACAACATCCGCAGAAATATCCAACATTTCTTCAGACAGGTGGGGATACCCAGAAATCACAGCATACCAGCTAGCTTCACACTTCTGGAAATACTAATCCCTCACTGAGAGAAGCTACTGGTTAAGGAAAATAATGCATGGATTGCAAGAGGAATCCAATCTACAAGCATTGACAACAAGGCAGGTCAATATGCCACGGGTCCCCGGAGGACGGGGCATAAAGAAAGTGAAAGACAACCAACAGCAACTTAGAGCTTTACAGGCCTGTCCGTGAGTGGAGCACAGACCCCTACAAAGCACGAAGATCTCCTTGTCAGAGGAGATCCGACAGAGCTCACTGGAAGAGCTGGCTGGAGAAGGGACAAGTTCACAGCTCCTGGGGGGTAACTGAGCAACCGCTCAGTGACAGCGCCGTGCTAGAACACACGGGAGAGCAAAACTCAAAAAAGAAACACTTCATAGCGTTCCCTGCTTTCTCCCCATATCCCCAGCCTTGTGGTCTTCAGCTTTACTGACAGCACAAAAGAATCATAGTTACAAAGGGAAACTTTGCCCAACTCAACCAAATACTCACCAGAGTGTTCACTCGCGCACTTACCTTGGAAGGCGAACAGCTCACTTTCTGGCTGGCGTCTTCTTTATCCTTCCCAGCCTGCGAGTTTTTGACCACAGGTGGAGTCTTTGTGTCTTGACTTCGACGTTCAGCACAAGGAGCTGCAGGCTTACTTTTAGGCGCTTCCGTACCAGGAGCCAACCCAGAGGAAACGCTCGCTTGCTCTCCTGTTGAGGCTGGTTTCTTACTGCTACCCGAGGGCTGGGAAGCTGGTCTGGTTTCTGGAAGCTGGCCAGCACCAGGGGCATGACTGCCCCCTTCCACGTTACTCCTGACCACTTCTCCGCACTCCGTGGTACTTCCACCCTCCACCTTCTCCTTTGGGGCTGCAGAGCTCGGAGACGGCGCAGCCACATTATCCGTGCTGCTCTGCTTTGGTGGGGTCATCGCGTCTACGCTGCAGTGACTGCCTTCTGCAACTGCTTCCAGACTTCCAGCTTCCTTTCCCAGGTGATCCAATGCCCTGTCGCTTTCCTGTGCGCCTCCGCTGTCACCAGCAAGGACATCAGCACCCGGTTTGGCTGCTTCACTGCCCGGGGTTTGGATTTCTTGTGGAATAACACATGTATCAGGCAATTCTGTGGTTTGAGCTGGTGCTGAGCTTAGAGGAGGCAGAGACTCCTGCTCCCTGGAGCTGGGAGGACCCTTCATTTTTTTATTCCTCTTCTTTTTCTATTTAAAAAAAAAAAAAAAACAAAAACATAATGTCTATTTATTCACTGTTGAAGAGAAATTCTTTTGTCACCTCCTCCATTGCAGCTAGTACCAACATCTTCCTGCTACAATGGGTTAATGGAAAACGATCAGTAAGAGAAGGGACAAGACCAGCTACCATCTTCTATTGTAGGTGAAATGCAAGTAACTCTTGAGAATTCTGTAGTTTTAATATTCAAGACTTTCTC